CGTCTGGGCCTATTGCTTTTCTATGCTTCATCTTCTTCAAAGCTACAACCACTTCTTCCTTCCGGATTCGACGATAAAAAGAGTAGTTTCTACACTCTTCTGAGTTACTCAACTCCCCTAAAGAAGCACTCCTTTCATGTCCTTCATTGAAAAGATTATGAAAATAACCTCTCCATCTGTCTTTAACCGCGTTCTCTGTAGCAAGAACCTTTCCATCCTCATCCTTGATGCACCTCACTTGGTTTAGGTCCCTTGTCTTCTTTTCCCTTACTCTAGCTAGTTTATAGATATCCAACTCTCCTTCTTTGGTATCTAGTCGTTTATACATATCGTCGTAAGCCGCTAACTTAGCTTCTCTGACCGCTTTCTTCGCCTCTTGCTTCGCTTTTCTATACCTTTCACCATTTTCATCGGTCCTCTCCTTGTATAAGGCTTTACAACATTCCTTCTTAGCCTTCACCTTTGTTTGTACCTCCTCATTCCACCACCAAGATTCCTTTTGGTGTGGGGCAAAGCCCTTGGACTCTCCTAATACCTCTTTTGCTACTTTTCGGATACAACTAGCCATGGAATCCCACATTTGGCTAGCTTCCCCCTCTCTATCCCACACACATTGGGTGATTACCTTCTCTTTGAAAATGGCTTGTTTTTCTTCTTTTTTAGATTCCACCATCTAGTCCTTGGGCACTTCCAAGTCTTGTTCTTTTGTCTCCCTCTTTTGATATGTACATCCATCACCAACAAGCGATGTTGATTAGCCACGCTCTCTCCTGGTATAACTTTGCAATCCTTACAAGTTATACGATCCCCTTTCCTCATTAGAAGAAAATCTATTTGTGTTTTTGACGACCCACTCTTGTAGGTGATCACATGTTCTTCTCTCTTCTTAAAGAAGGTGTTGGCTAAGAAGAGATCATATGCCATTGCAAAATCCAAGATAGCTTCCCCATCCTCGTTTCTCTCCCCAAAACCATGGCCACCATGAAAACCTCCATAGTTGCCTGTCTCCCTGCCCACGTGTCCATTTAGATCTCCTCCTATAAATAACTTCTCCGTCTGAGCAATTCCTTGCACCAAGTCTCCAAGGTCTTCCCAAAATTTCTCCTTCGAACTCGTATCCAACCCTACTTGAGGTGCGTACGCACTAATCACATTGATAAGTTCTTGTCCTATTACAATCTTGATTGCCATGATTCTATCTCCTACCCTCTTGACATCTACAACATCTTGTGTCAAGGTCTTGTCCACGATGATGCCAACACCGTTTCTCGTTCTATTTTGTGCCCGAATACCAAAGTTTAAACCCTGAGTTTTCTAGATCCTTTGCCTTACTACCAACCCACTTAGTTTCTTGTAGGCACATAATATTTATCCTTCTCCTCACCATAACTTCCACTACTTCCATAGATTTTCCCGTTAAGGTTCCTATATTCCACGTTCCTAAACGCATTTTGCTCTCTTGAACTCTACCCTTCTGTCCTAGCTTCTTCACCCTCCCCCGTCTAATAGGATCAAAGTACTTCTTTTGTGTGTCCCGTGTAAAGTTGATAGGAGCATATGCTCCCAAACAACTTTGAGTGGAGTCGTTCGAAAAAAAGTTTCTACGGCCCCCTTGCTCATTTAACACTGCATCCGGGTGCCGATGGAGATACAGCGACCCTTGCTCACTTATCACTGTGCTCGGGCCACATAGCGCGCCACTTACGGGTGACGCCCTAGCTTTAGCGCGATTTTGTTCTGGATTCATTTTCATAAGGATTCGACGTGATCATGGAGTGCCGGCTGTCGACTACCTGACGCCCTCCCCCTCCTCCTTTATCCGGGCTTGGGACCGGCAATGTAAAATTACATAGGCGGAGTTATCAAACATGATCATGATTGAAAAATGTGTAACATCTTATACAACATGATCATGATTGAAAAATGTGTAACATCTTATACAAAATTATGTGGACAGTGTGATCGGAGCTGCGCCCTCTCTCAGTTTGAAAAACCTGAATGATATTGAAATGGGACTCAGCTCCTCTTTGTCCTCGGAGAGGGAGATAATCAATATACTGCAACTATTTCTGCTTCGTTGTGCAAAAAAAGCTCACCAAGGAAAACCAATGAAGCCCGTCTTGCCACGAGAAGAGATAGCTAAACATGTAAGAGTTACTCATCACATATATGCACATGTGGCGGTATGTAAATGTTTCTTGACTATATTTTTTCCACTGTCTTGAATTTTATGGAAATGTGGACATGGATTCTGCAGAAAATGAATTTCCGGATGGGACATGGAACGAACAGTTTGGAGGAGGAAAATAAGCTTTTAAAGGAGATGAATGCTAGACAGAAGGAGGGTGCTGGTTTATTTCCCTCATTGGAAAGGGATTGTTATACTCCGCGTTCTGTAGATGTAAGATAGAACAAGAAATATTTCTCTTAGAATACCCTTAGTTTTTCTTTAATCTTTCAATTTGGTTTTACTTTTGGTTTTGGACTATCGAAACAGGTACGGTTGTTGCCCCTCAATGAGTGTATGTATGAGATGAATCAGAGAAGTATAATTCAACACCGACTGAGACAAATCGAGGAAATAAAATGGCAAAGCGCAAGACCTGGAATTCTGTTTCAAAGCCAATGGGATGAACCAGTTGGTCATGCAAGTGATACTGCTAATGCTGCTGCCAATGCTGTTGCTAATCCCAAGGGAAGGATTTGGGATTCTTTGCGTTTGAAAAAAGCGTTACAAGAACAAATCAAAGTAACATACATAATTCCAACTCATCAAATTTGTAGTTAAAATTTTGACTTTTGTTTCGTTTAACTTGCTGATTTAATTTCTTGACACTATATTGCAGGTAAGCCGTGAGAAGGTTGATGAATTAACGAAATCACTATTGGCCTTCCGGCGCGGGCCAATTTTTAAGGAAGTCGAGAGTGAATTGAAGGTCATTGAAAGAGATATAGAATGTTTGAAGGGGAAGTTGCCATTGATGGAACAGAGGAAATATGAAGCACAACAATGTATTCTTACATTGAGAATATAAGGTGTTAAAGTTTTGAGACTCTTGTCCCACATTGGAGAAAATAAGATTCTCAATGACCTTTATATATGTTTTTTCCTCTATAATATTAGTTATGTATTGGACCACTTGGAATGGGAATTGAGGCTTGGGTCACCATTTTGTGTGGATTGGGCTTGATGACTATACCATAATATTAATATTAATTAATCTAATCAATTAGTTTTAATTTTCAAATTAAGTTTTTAATTAAAAACGTTTTGATTAATAGACACAACTCTTTCGTATAGCTTCAGATACATCCAAAAGGTATTTGAAGAGGTATGAAAGAGCTTATATAACTGGAGTCCTCAGTTCCATTCCAGAAAAATCTTTTCTTCCTCCCTTCTGATTAATAGACACAACTCTTTCGTATAGCTTCAGATACATCCAAAAGGGTATTTGAAGAGGTATGAAAGAGCTTATATAACTGGAGTCCTCAGTTCCATTCCAGAAAAATCTTTTCTTCCTCCTTTCTGATTAATAGACACAACTCTTTCGTATAGCTTCAGATACATCCAAAAGGTATTTGAAGAGGTATGAAAGAGCTTATATAACTGGAGTCCTCAGTTCCATTCCAGAAAAATCTTTTTTTCCTCCTTTCTGATTAATAGACACAACTCTTTCGTATAGCTTCAGATACATCCAAAAGGGTATTTGAAGAGGTATGAAAGAGCCTATATAACTAGAGACCTCAGTTCCATTCCAGAAAAATCTTTTCTTCCTCCTTTCTTCTGTACGAAATTTCCAGAGAGTAAACACACAAAGCAAATTCGGTAGAATTAGGTAGTTGAATCCTGATCGAGCAGACGTTGTTGAACCACAAGCACAAGAGTGAGATGTAAATCCTGTTCGAATGACATAGCTATTACGCTAGTCTCTACCTTCTGTAATCAAGTTAGTATCATTGATATTCTTGTATTTATTTCTGTATTTCATTATGAACAGCAAGTATTTTGATTAATATATATTCTACAATTTCAAGTTCTGTTATTTTTATTTATTTCTGAATTGTTCTCCAACATGAGGTATGATGACTTTAGGTGGTCTGGTGTTTTAGCCTGTTGATCAAAGTACTTCTCTCAAGACGAGGAACTCCACGATGTACTAAACCAAGACAATGAGATGACAAGAAGGTGTCTAAACTTTGCTGCTTATGCCAAGTCTCAAATAAGCATTTTCGTCAAAGATCAGCGGATAATGAATCCGTCTTAATTTATAGTTCACCGAAACAACAAAATCTGGTTCCCTTGACGCGCTCACCATATCAACGCATGATGTTATAGTTCTTCTGTTGTTCATCAATTTCTTGCAATGTTTTTGCATTTATTGGTAATAACCTCTATGTATTAATTCAATCCTTTTATTATTACACTTGTGGTCACCGAATTCGAATACCTTAATCAAATTTCATCTTCCTCAGCACTGTAAGCAATAATATTTCATGGTTACTAGTGTCATCGATTGCTGCAAATTGATTGGCTAAAACAAAGAAAATTATAACATGTTCGGTTTCTAATATTCACTCCCCTAAAGGGAAAAACTGCAAAAGCCGCATTCGATCTTGTAACAAAGAAAACTTATTCTAAACGCCCATTTCGATTGAAAGACTATGGTGTCACCATTGGATATCCCATCGTGCTACTCTCTCTCCTCACGTCATAAGTCACGTGAGGAGAGAGAGTAACAGAATGGGGATATGGAACGGGAGTAGGGAAGTTTGCCTCGTTTTTAAGACGACTTTTACTTGCAAGTTGGAATTGAGACTCAATTCTTATTGCTTTCTTTATGTTTTTCAAATCCTGCTGGTCTGGCACACGCCATTTCCATCCATTAGAAAAATAAATTATGGAAGAGAAATTGTTTAATAAGGTTTTGGAATCAGTTGACTAATTACTTTGCTTGGGGTGCAAGTGAAATTGTTTAATAAGGTGTTATGCATCCCATTAGTCTATACCAGTATTTATCAGCGTCTCCTTGCTAAGCCATCAAGAAAAGCCAACACTATGGAAAAACTGGAAGATAATTCGACACAAATACCGCTGGTGCTTGAAAGCGAAGGAGATGACATTCACTTGCAAGAGAGCTTGTATGAGAATCGGAACCAGTGTCCAGAAGGTGATGAAGAGCCAAATTTAAAAGCCAGAATTGAAGAGGCTGAGAAGCTGGTTGCAAATACAAGTCGAGATATACTTGAGCTGATCAGAAATATAAGCCGAAGGAAGGTATGTTAAAATGGTCCATCTGCAACTTGCATGAACGTATGCGACTCTGCATTTTCTTATGTAATGAAATATGTGATGTGATATTATTGAAACTTCTTCAACAGTATGATTTGTATTGTGCCTGTTCACTGTTGGACTACTACCGGAATAGGCACAAAGCGGGGATCAGAGACTGTTTGAACCTGGAGAGGGAGAAAATGAATATACTGCAACTATTTCTGCTACGTTGCGCAAATAAATCTCACCCCGGTTTGTCAGTAGAAGGCATAGCCAAACATGTAAGAGTTACTCATTATATATACGTACAATGTTTTCCAGTTGTTTCTTAGTTAAGCCTTTTGAGTTTGTTGGATTTATGGACATCGATTCAGAAACTGAGTTTCCGGATGGTACATGGAACAAACAACTTGGCCGAGGAAAAGCGGCTCTTGAAAGAGATCAATGTGAGCGAGGAGGTTTCTGCCGGTTCATTGTCCTCATTGGAAAACGACTATCATATGCTTCCTGAAAATGTAAGAATGAACATTACATATTAAATGTGTTAGAACTTGTCAATTCAATTATATTCTTTCTTATAATTTGGATTTGAATTTTTCTTTTGGACTATTGAAACAGACTTGGTGGTCGGATCACCAATCGCGGTATGTGCTTAATCAGAGAAAAATAGCTCATTACCGCCTAAGACAGATCCAAGAATTTAAATGCCAAATAGCATCAAGAACGGCAATTCTATTGCAACGAAAATGGGATGGAGCCATTTCTAATGCAAAAGCTAATGCTAGTGTTGCTGCTGCTGCTATTTTCAAGGGGAAGATTTGGGATGCTTTGGTTCGAAAAAGTCCTTGCTGGAACAAATCAGAGTAACATACATATAATTCTAACACATCACAAAAAAAGTTGAAAAATATGAACTTTGTTTCTTGCTGATTTTTAGTTTCATTCATGCCGTAATATTGTAAGAAACTGGCACGGAGATCAATGAGTTAACGAAATTATTATTTGCTCCTGTGCGGCCGGAAATTAAGTGGGTTGAGAAAGAATTGAAGGTGATTGAAGAAGATATAGAATGCTTGCTGAAGCAACTGCCATTGATGGACCAGAGGGAACGCGAAGCATATGGCCTGCATAAGTTGAGAAAACAACAGAACTTGCCATTGATCACAGCAAGAAAATGAGATTCCAAGAAGATGTCTGCTGATTAGCTTTCTTGGCCCGAGTCTTGAATGATCTTTTTCGTCAAAGATCGTTCGATGTTGAATGAATCCTTCTGAATGTATAACTTTACCAGTAAAACAAAAGTATGTGTTTTCAATAGTCCTTGAAAAAGAGAGTGCAAGTGATGCGTCAGAAAAAAAAATGAAGCACACTAATGCATTCTCAAACATGTTGAATAAAATAAACATCAGGTCATTTGGCCAAGACAGTATGCTCGCATCCTTAAAGTTGAGTTCGAATTCCCCTCCATGTAGATTATACTAATTTATAATACAATATCTTCTTGTCAAAGAAACCCGGTGAATCAATGCATTCTCAAACATGTTGAATCAAATGCAGACGTGAGTTAGGTCAGTTGACAGAAACAGTGTGTTCGCACCCTTAAAGTCAAGTTCAAATTCCCCACCTTGTGGATTATACTAGTTTAGAATACATTATCTTTTTGTCAAAGAAACCTGGTGAATCAAATTACTGCGAACTGAAAGTGACAACTAACAAATGGGTAATTGGAGGATTGAAGTTTGTGACTTCTTCATGGTTGGTTGAAGTGTCAAAGACTCAAAAACCAAACTCTTGTTGCTGACAATGACAGCAACAAGTAGAAGAAAGCTTTTATGAGAAAAAGACTTTCCTAGTTGGTGGGTGGGTTTGGGTTAGTCCTTTTCTTAAGGAACTCCACCAAATACCAAACCAGAGATTCAGTCTCATGAAGAACATGATATGGCCAGAAAGTGCCTGTAATTAGCTGCTGCTTTTATCAATGTCTCAAATAATTTGCTTAATTTGCAAAGGACTTGTAGTCATTTGAGGTTCCGTGTTCGATTCCTTAGATATACATAAAAAGGATTTTACTTAATGTAGTTTTCTGCTTAGTAATTATGATATACTGAGTTATGCATTTGCAAGTCGAACTCAAGACATGTTGACCTTTCTTTATATCACACAAACATTAAATTACAAAGGGACCAACACTTTAATGTAATTTTAAATAGATAATTTTAACGAAAAGCTCATAGTACTGTTCACTTTAAAGAAAAATCATATTTTTACACTAAAAAGTCAATCATGTTACTATTCACTTTACTTTTTATATTGTCATTATCATTAAAACTCAAAGTTTTCAAGCCATTTTCATTAGTTTTCCTTTTTTAAAATATGAACTAACTTTTGATTTAATGGTATTTCTATTACAACTAGTGAATGAAATCTCAAGTTTGAATCACTTGTCTATGTTAGTTTGTTTTATAAAATAAAATAAAAATTGGATTCCACATATGACTCTTTATTTTTTATTGTCAAATTGAATGAATCAAATAAAAACAACGTAACTAAAAAATGTGTACAAGGAAAGAAAGAATGTGTTTTGTTTTTGTCATCCCTTCAAAAAACGAAGGATTGTTAACTTGGGGTTTGGGTTTTCTACATGACATGGAGCCTTGGGTTGTTTACTAAAATAATATATCGGAAGAATTCCAATTTTCAATGAGTTGTGCTATCCATACACAGCTTTTCACATTTTCACAAATTTCTTTAATTTATGTTATTTAGGGGTGTATTCAATTGGGAATTGAAGAGATTTTAATGGATTTTAATTTATTTATAGAGATTTCATGTAAATTTTTTATTCAATTCCCTTAAAATCTCATGAGGAGATGAGAGATTTATAGATGCTTAAAATACACTACAAAATCTCTCAAATTCCCTCTAATTCCTCAATTTTTTGAAATTCTTTAAAATCTTAATTGAATACATCCAGATTTCTAATAATTTTAATAAACTATCTTAAAATCATAATTGAATACATATTGAATTTCAAAGAATCACTTAAAATCCTAATTGAAAACTCTTAAATTCATTAAAATAATTAAAATCCCTCAAAATTCTAATTGAATACATCCCTCTTAATCTTATTCAATTCATTATATGTACTAGAATAATACGCTAACAATTACAATCATTTACCCAATTAATTGTAAAACAGGTAATTAGATAAAAATCTCCCTCTCTCCAGCGCACATGTTCAGTAATTTAATTCTTAATTCTTCAACCCCTTGGCGTTTGCCAGAACTGTATTGCTGTAATGTCCCACCTAATCTTTTTTTTGTTCAAATCTAAACCCAAAACCAAAACCAAAACAGTAACGACACAAAATCAAAGATTCAATTTTGACTGGTTTTAGAGAGAGAGAGAGAGAGAGGGATGTGGGAGTCGATCTTCCTAACGCTGGCGGCGACGGCCGGAAATAACATCGGCAAAATTCTTCAGAAGAAGGGCACCGTGATTCTTCCTCCTCTCTCTTTCAAGCTCAAGGTAGGTACTCCCTCATTTTTTGTTTGCCCATTTTGCCGTTTTCGATTCTGTGATTGCTGTTCGAATCCCAATTTGTAATCTTGGAATTGGATTCCGGGATTTCATTTCCAAATGGGAATTGGGTTCGTTTCAAATTCCCAATTTTTCAGGATTTACAACAAAATTTCAATTTTTTTTATGTGTTGTGCGTTTGCAGGTGATCAGGGCGTATGCTTTGAACAAAGCATGGCTGATAGGTTTTCTGATGGATATATTTGGAGCTTTGCTAATGTTGAGAGCACTGTCTCTAGCTCCTGTAAGTGCTTCAACTCGAAAGTTCCGATTTTTCGATTATTTTTTTTAGTTTCGGTTTTTAGGGTAATTTTTATTGCAATTTGTTCATCTATTTGGTGGTTGGAATTAATGGTGTGCCACATTTTGGTGAATGTTGGATGATGTAATTTGCAGGTGTCAGTCATACAACCAGTTTCCGGGTGTGGACTTGCGATTCTCTCAATCTTTTCCCATTTTTATCTGAAGGAAATGATGAATGCTGTTGACTGGATGGGGATTACATTAGCAGGCATTGGCACTATAGGTAACATAAGTTCTTCATAATGCTTGGAAGTTCAATTTTCTTCGATGGGAACTGTTGCATTACTAGCTTTTGATCTTGTGTTTTGTTTTAAGAATAATCTGTGTGAGATTTTGTATTTGTAGGCGTTGGTGCCGGAGGTGAGGAGCAAAAGGCTTCCGCAATATCTGTGTTTCATCTACCATGGTTGGCAATTGTAGTCGCCTTCTTGTTTGTAGGTACCTAACCTTATACCTTGCATCATCTAATGTTTATAGTTGAACACTTGGATTTATGCAATCTAATGATTCTAACCCTGCAAGGCATCTTTAAATAGGCCCTCCTTAATGGGTGGCTACGCATCTACAGACGTCAACGCAAAAAACAGGAGTTGGTAAGCTGATTACTTCTTTTTCGTCTATCTTTAGTGTTTGAGTATGGTGCCCACTACCAATTCACTGATATCTGCTTGTGGTACAGATGGAATATGAAGTTGTTGAAGAAATTATATGTGGCTTGGAATCTGGCATTTTGTTCGGGTATGATTCCGTCCAGCACTAGTATGCATTAATATGTTTCTTATCATATATAGATTCATCTCTCTCATCCTTCAATTCTAGGAGGGAAATTATTAAAAAGCATGTAGAGTTATAGTTGTGCATGCTACTACACGTCAATGATGTGTTGAGCATGTCATTTGGGTGTACTTTATGTCACAAACGATAGATAGTTTAAGTATTGTTGACTTAAATCATGAAGCTGCTGTTGTTGTCAAGCCACGTTTAAAATCATAATGTAACTATCACACATCTTATTGCAGGATGGCATCTGTAATATCGAAGATGGGATTTGTATTCCTGGAGCAGGGTTTCCACAGCATACTGGTTCCAATATGTGTCATAATCAGCATATGTTGTAGTGGTACAGGGTTTTATTATCAGGTGTGGTGAATACTTTACTAAGTTCATAGTTTCATATCCATGTGTTCACGTAAACTGAAGTCGGTCCCATGAAATGCATTTGTAGTTTCATTAGTTAGTTATTGTCATTGTTAATGAGTTATATCTTTTGACAGACTTGGGGCTTAAAGCATGGGAGGGCAATAGTAGTGTCTACATGTGCTGCTGTGGCATCAATTGTGACTGGTGTACTTGCTGGAATGCTTGCTTTGGGTGAAAAATTGCCTTCAGCACCAACAGCTCGTCTTTCACTGATGCTTGGATGGTAAATTACGATAGCTATACTGACTTATTTGCTCGCTTTTTTTTTTTTATACATATTTAAAGCTTTCTAAAACTTAGTTTTGGGCCTCAGGATGTCTTTAAACCAGATGGTTTTGACGTATGGTGTATGTGGAATGATTCATCAGCTATCATGATTCATTTAGGAAACCTGATTAGCACTTCCGTGAGATGAAAAATTCATTTA